TCAATGTAAATCAGCTGTGCTGGAGCAGGGAAACCTCTAAAACCTGCAGGACAGCGGCCCTCGAGGACTGACCTTGGGGATGCCTGGTTTAGAGAGCTCAGTCAAAGACTAAAAAAAAAAAAGAAAGTTTTTAAATCTTAATTCAAACAAGCTGAGCATTTTAGCTAGTTTGCTATTTTCTGGGAGTTTTTTCCAGATTAGTAGAGTATAAGAACTAAAAGCTGCAGAGTAATTTTGATCCATTAGACCTGAGAGGTCTGGCTGTCGATCCACTGCAATGTATTTGTAGAGAAGTCATTCAGTAAATTAAAGACTAAAATAAGTATTTTAAAGTCTATTCTCAGAGATACATGGGGCCAATTGAAGGAATTTAGAGCTGGGCTGATGTTCTCCACTGTCCTAATTCTAGTGAGGACGCAGGCAGCAGAGTTCTGGATCAGCTGCCTGATCCACTTTCTAGGCAGACCTGTGAAGACATAGCTGCAGGGATCAATTCTGCTAAAGAAGATCAAAGCAGGAATTAGTTTATCAAGGTCCTGCTGAGACATTAGTCCTTGGAGATGTTTTTTGGGTAATTAAAGACTTTGTTCCTCCCTTTATGAGCCTCTGAAGGTTCAGGTCAGAGTCCATCACTACACCCAGACTTAAGTTTGGTTATCTTCCCGCAGCAGTGTGTCGCAGTGACACATGTCGCATTTTTGATTTATGCCCAATATTGAAGCGTGGTCTGTGCTCTGTTATTCTACGCCACAACGCAAGAGGGACAATCAGGAACTAGCTGTGGGTCTAAATACGGCCGAGGTGATTAGGAAGTTGGGACAAGTTTGTGCGACAACGGAGGGACATGAGGGCGAAAAAAAATTTGTATCCAGGTGGAAAAAGGGTCCCAGCTTGCTCGCTCACCTTGCTCTTCTAGCTGGTCCAACTTCACTGGTCGTTTTCCACAATGGCGGTCATACAAATAAAACAAGCCGGTAAGGTACCAAACAGGAAATACGCATAGTGTAGAGCGGATATAGATTTGACCAATCAGAGGCCTCCTGTCTGCGGCACGGTCTGCTGTCACCTACAATTTTGGAGAGGTGCACCAGGTGTCTGCGGATGGGGCGGGGGCACATTTGCGTTCACTGCGACACACACGCAGATGACCTAGTTTCTGAGTATAAATCAGCCTTAAGAGCCTGATTGGTGGTTTCTGGCTGGATTAACTGAAGCTCTATGCTATTTTTAAACACTCTTCCTTTGATACAAAAACTAAATTTCCTTAGTTTTGTTCCATCCATGTCCTCAATTTCTTAGTTACATGCATAGTTATGGGAACTTATGGTGTTTATTCAGATTTGAGTTAAAAGGAGCAGGTAGATAGTGAATAAAAGGGGCTCTAAGACAGCCCCTTGGGGAATGCCTAATGCGATTTTTCTGGTCTTCGATGTAAAGTTAGCTACTGACACCAGTAGGTAGAAGTGGAACTTAAACCAGTGCAGTGCTGGAGCAGAAAGGTCGACACAGTTTTCCAGGTGTTTTAGTAAAATAAAGCACAGGTTGCTGCACTGAGGTCCAATAATACCAGCACTGCATTCAGACTGATGTCACTAAATACCTTGATAAGGGGGGGTGTCTACTAAGAAAAAAAAGCTTGTTAATAAAAGCAATCTGACTAATAAATGGTTCTGTTTTTTCTGTTTCTCTCTCTGTTGTGTTCATTGAAACCAGGACTTCACCTCGGTGAGTACGTTGTAGGATTTTTAACATGCTTTACGGTTATCATTGCCTCTGCCTTACCTGAAGCTTTTCTCTCCTTCGTTCCGACATAACGGCTGCCGGCTGTGACCCTGACGCCTCCTTTCAGGGGGTAGGTTCCATACAGCACCTTTATTTTTTCTTTTTTTCCTTGCTGAAACCAGTTTGTAAAACAGTACATTAAAAAGTCATGAAGGCCTTAAACATGTCATACCCTGTTTACTCCAGTGTCTCAAAAAACGTGCTTTACTTTTTCCACTGAAGGATTCTGGCGCGATCTTTCTCCTCTTCTAAGAACATCCAGATCACGCATTTCAAAGGTCCACTATCAAAAGGATTATGAAAGATAGCTTTTTAGCTCCTGTGCCCCCCTGACAACCTAAATCCCTTTATTTGTCTCCCAGTGCGCTTAAGAGATTTCAGCTCATGTTTGTTGTCCCTCCCCTCATGTCAGTTCTTACACCGTCCTGTGGCCATGGCAGACCACCTTCTAAGAGTCGGCCTAAGCCTCTGCCATCTCCACCACGGACAAGATAGCCCGGCTGCCATTGAAGTGTTGGGAGATGGGGGGGCAGATTAAGGAGAGTCTTAATGCCTCACAAAGACTTTGCCCATTTAAAGATAATCTGAAAGTAATAGAGCAGGCTGGGATTAATTGTAGAACAATGCTGCATGTGCCCCTGGGAAGGTACTAAGTCCTCCTCAGGCCTCTTTGATGTTTCAGCCCTCAACCTGACACCGTTCAGCAGAGGTGGAGATAACACACGGAGATAGGGAAAATCAAAGAAGCCAAAACACTCCTGAACAGGGCATGAAAAACTAAGAGCTTTAACATCTGATCTGTTTCTTTTAATGCTTTTGAAAGTTTTGTTGGAAGAGCTTTTAGTCGGTTTGAATTGTTCGTTGGGGAAATTACATTTTCCCACATTAAAAAAAACATAGCTTTATTATATATTATTTATTTAAAAATGGTTTTCTAACTTTCATTTTAAATGGAAATCCTAACAGTACCCTTTTGAAACTGTGCCGAGATCGGTCTGAGCACGGTAACCGAGGTAACTGTTGAGCGTAAATGGCACACACAACTGAACTGGACCGGGCTAAAGTGGTACTAGTTCATCAGTAGAACTCGGACAAAGACCGTTTATTTAAATTATTGAATGCAAACTATTGGTATTTCAACATACCCTGAAGCATCAAAATATTTATTTCCTACTAAGAGGCTTAAAAGTTTCATTAAATCCAGTCACAACAGCTTCCAAGAGCGCATCTGATAACTTCAAAACAAACTTCTTATCTCTGGCGTGTATGGATGCAGAGATGCTGAGTTTGGAGGTAGAAAACAAACTAATTTTATTATCCTAATTATCCCTATTTTGAAGATGCACAACGAAAATAAATATTTGGGCAGAATCAAGTGATGGATGCTGATTGTGAGTTTTAATCATGTCATTAAATTTAGCGTCAATTTCCGCATGTTTTGCTCCTATGAATTTAATAATAGTAATAAAGTCGTGGATGCTTTCCTTGAGCCTTGAAGAAATCGGAGCGGAGCAAGACGGGAGAAACCGCAGAAGCTTTAGGATTTGCTCAGGTGGTCTGGAATGGCGCGGTTGCAGACGATGTGGGTTTTCGGTGTATTGCTGCGCTCTGCTCCTCATCCATATGTTCACAGCTGCCAACCAGCTAGCTAACAGCTGTTTCTGCATGCAACATGCTTAAGCGCTCTTTCTACCCTAATAGGGCTTGGGATCCGCGTTGCATTGTGGGACGTGTCGGCCATGTTGAGGGCTACGCGAACGTAAACATAGCTCTGATACAACGTTGTTGTTGAAAGAAGAGACGTAGAAGTAGAGAGAAAACAGATGTTAAAATCCCGAAAAGGATCTGGAATTTACCGGGACACATAAAAATAGAGAAGCCAGGGACCGGTATGTTGACAAAATCAGCATTATTAATAATTTGGATCCATATGAAGTTCCAAACAATGAGTGGAGCACCGATGAGTGAGCGCCTATACTTCAAAACAGTTCGGAAGCTACAATCCTTGGAGTCTCATGTGCAGTTCATGAATGGATGGGTTCAGGAGTTGCAGATCATAAAGCCAGCAAACAGTGGGAACACAGTAATCCGTACGAAGGTAAACTGTGCTTAGACGGGCTCTGGAACCTGCTAGTTTAGTAACTGCTAACCGCTAGTGCTAACAACCATTCACGCATGTAATGTACTTTTAACTAGCAGCTATGTGTTTCAAAGGTGTAGTTAGTAATGTTAACTGCCAACCCTATGGGAGAATTATCCTGCCATAATGCAAGAGCACATAATTTCAATTTGAGAAAAGAATTTCATCTTCTTGCACTCAAAACATATAATGCTCACACTCAAAACATGCGCTCTCTCTCAAATATTTTCTCTTCTCTCTCAAATCTTTGTTTCTTCTCTCAGATTTAATGCTTCTTGCACAGATATTTTCTCCTCTCGCTTGCCTCCTTCTCTTCGTGCACAAACTCTGCTCGAGTCTCAGATACGCTCACAAACCCGCAGGCTCTGCTTGCGGATTTTTTTTGCTCTCTCTCAGATTGCAGGTAGATCGTCGCCTAGCAACCTTTTCCAGCCAATAGAACGACAGCCTCAGAAAGGGTGCGCATGTTTAACCCTAGTCTGAGCAGCGGTAAAGGAGGCCATCAACATGGCGGCCACGCAAAGTAATTACGTCATGACGCCCAAGCCCTATAAAAGTCTACATGGAACATTTACCCCTCCTTCATAAAACTGTAACATCGGGGACATTTCTGGGGACAGATTTAGCCGGGGACAGGTGGTCCAAAACGGGAACTGTCCCCGGAAATCTGGGATGTCGGGTTACCGTACATAAGACTTACTTTGATTCGCTGTCTTTTAACACTGGCGGGACAACAGTTGTCTTGATCTTTGCTTATTTAGTTTAAACAATTTTTATTATCGTTGTATTTTATATCTGTATGCTGCATTTTAGTCTTTTGTTGTGTTTTATTATTTTTTATTATGTTCAGACCTTTGTTTTTAGCTGTTTTAAGGCTCTCTACAAATAGCTGACGATGATGAATTAACAAGGAACCCTATGAGGCGCTAAATCTAGAAGCTACTGTCTAATGTAGCTTATTAATGCTAATAGTTAGCATTAGCAAATATTTCGCTGAAGTTTTCAAAAGGAAAGCAGATTCCTCCACACAGTTTCTGAGTTCCTTCCTCGCTTAAGTTGAAACCACAAGCTGGACTTTCTACAGAAAAAGCTGCAAATCAAAAGCTGGACTGATGTCCACCTTTGTTTTGATCCTTTTTTTCGTTGCTTGTTTATTCAGTTTGGATAACACTGAAGCCATCAGAGCTATCACTGAGCTAGCTCTTAAACTGACTTTAAACTGCTAATCCTATTCCCGTCGTAACCAAAACTAAATATTTATTATATTTTATGGACCTGTTAACATTTTTGCATATTCAATTCAGTTTCAATTCAATTCAATTCAGTTTCAATTCAATTCTGTTTATTTCTATAGCGCCAATTCACAAAACACGTCATCTCAAGGCACTTTACAGTTCACCAGATCGTACAATTAAATTGATTCAAAGTTTTCTATCTAAGGAAAACCAGTTGATTGCATCGACTCATTGACTCAAATTCAATCCCTCACACTAAGCATGCTTGTAGCGACAGTGGAGAGGAAAAACTCCCTTTTAACAGGTAGAAACCTCCAGCAGAACCAGGCTCAGTGTGAGCGGCCATCTGCTGAGGCCGACTGGGGTTCAAGGAGACAGACGCAGAGACACAAAAAGCAGCTTTAAAGGCAGCCCCGTCCAGGAAACACACAGCCAGGCAGTCATACATATTTTATATATAATGAATATTTTTCTGTAAAATGAACACTTATTCTGCACTATTCTAGGCGCTATGTGGTTGTGTTACTTTTAAAGTAATTTATCATTTTGATGAAAAAGTAGTAGCTAAGACATTAAAGTTAAAAAGCCATGTTTTGTTGGATCAGTTGTCTAAAAGTGAGATTATTTTATTATGAACTCTATTCACCAGTTAGAGCACTTTTGAGAGTGTCAAAATAAAGGGGACTGAATATAAACGCAGAAAACACTTTTGTTGTGTTTGAGAATGATTTTGAAAGCCATGTTTTCCTTTTTGTTTTCCGATTCACAGCTGTACACCTCTTTGTGTCAATCCCACACATTAAATCAAATGTTTGTGGTTATGATAAAGTGGGAAAAAACTGATGGTTTTTTACATTCTTTAGAGTTCACCACCTTTTTTTCCTTCCTGTTTTCCATGTGATGCCTGCTTCCATTCCTACTGTGATGGACTTCCTACCACAAACAGTTTGTAAGTACATCATTTCACCATCCGTCCTCTCCGTCTTCTCCTCCACATCCTTACCAGACAGGCCTTTGTGTTTCCGACACTGAGTCAACTTCGGCTTCCACTTTCTTCGTTGGGAAGCGCGTGGCGGGGAGGCTCAGAGTTGGCCCCTGACTGATCCGATACCTGGGTGGGGGGTGGCAGTGGGGGAACAAGAACAGAAACGAGGGAACAAGCATCCTGTTTGGGGACTCGTACATCATCCCCGCTCTACAGGAAACCCAGCGAGCCGCCTATCAAACTGCCCCTTGGCCAATCCGTCTTCTGTTGTGACACTGGGTACACTAAAGATCAGGAGATACTCCAAGCACATGCCGTCTATCACAATCTGTCCCCCCGATGTTAGATGCAGCTACACTTTGCCTCTATTCCCTGAAGGGAGAGAAAAAAGACACGTTTCTGTTAATGGCTGCTTGTCCAGCCTGTTGGGAGAAGCGGTTGTGAACAGAAAAAGTCTCGTTCGGGCAGTAATAAAGAGCTCCAGTTCAGAAGAAGTGGTATTTGGCTTGTGGTTGACACACAGGGGAATAATACAAGGAAATCATCTGTCATCTGAGTCTTTATCCCTTTATGTTGAAAAGTGTTTAATATACTTTTAAGCTCTTAAACACAGCTTTAAAGATTTATTTTCCCCCAGAACTTTTTTAATTCAGTTCAGTTTGTATAGCTCCAATTCCCATAATGTCATCTCAAGGCTTTTTACAGAAACAATTCAACCAGATCATACAGTCAGATTTGGTAAATGTTTTCTATCTAAGAAGGATTGCAGGATTGCCTCCTACTGGAAAAGCATTTAGAGACAGGAGTTGTTATCCACTTGCATTGTATCATCAACTCTATAGCAATCCCTCACACTGAGCCTGCATGCAGTGAAAGTGGAGAGGAAAAACCTTATTTTAACAGGAAGAAAACTCCAGCAGAAGCAAGCTCAGTGTGAGCATCTTCTGTCGAGGCTGACTGGAGGTTGAAGGAGACAGAAGCAGACATAGAAAAGGAACACAGAAGCGCTGATCTATAAATACTTTCTATGTTAGAGAAAGTAACGATAAACTAGCTCAATAGGTGGCGCTGTCTTAAGCCTCTTTCCCATGGAAATGAACGACATGGGTCGACTTGCTAACAATCAGCATTTGAGTCCCTTCCCATTCGTAAAAAAAGCTGAATCTGATGGGTGACCTCTGCCCCCCACTGCTGCGTGTCTGGTGACATCATCACGCTGGGTTAGCGCTGATGATGTCACCAGTGCAACAAAAATCACAAAAGTAATTAATGGAGACCAACATGTAAGAAAGCCAGGGCGTAGTTGATTCGCTTTTTTATGTTCCATGTTTATCAAATATAAACAGAGTTTTTTTGGGCTAGTTAGATCAGACGTAACTAGTGCAGAGTGTTGACGTCCGTACATTGTGGTCAATGGTATCACATAATTTAGTGGGTCGACCTGGGTCTGGTGTTCCCACTGTTTGGCGTCAAACGGCTCAGCTCTGATTAGCAATTTTAACCTGGGTCACTTGCTGAGTCGTTTGACCCAGGTCAACACGGGTCAGTTAGCTGTTCCCACTGCCACTACAAGCTGATTATTCATTGGTTTAAATGGGTTTTTCGGCCAGTGGGAAAGAGGTATTAGAGAAAGAGTTAAGCAGACAAATTCTGAGAAAGTTTTCATGTTAAACAGGATGAAAGAAAGCACACTCAGTTAGTCACAGTGAAAGCTCATACCTATTATGTCTCTGAGAGAAACAGGACTAAACACTGAAAAAAAGCCTACCATCTATAATTGAAGGTGTTGATGTTAGCAGCCCCTGATTTTTTTCGCTGCAGGGTTGTATCACAGAACCAGGCCAGTCGAACCTACTATGATGAGAAAAAGCATAAAGTTTGTGAATACTGGTGAATTGGAGAATAGATATGATATGAAGAAGAGGCATAAGAAGTAGTCTCTATATCCTCCACCGGCCTTAGCCTATAGTAGCATAACTATAGAGACACCCTTAGCAATTCTAACTGTAAGCTTTATCATAAAAGAAAGTTTTAAGCAAGCAAGAAGTGTAGCAGACTGGCTGCAAAACAATTAATGGAGACTTTGTGATTTTTAAACATAAAACCCAGAGTTAGCAATTACAAAGTAAAAAAACTGGTGTTGATATCGACCCCCTGGGGAGAAACCGAGGAGGAATGCTGTCCTAGGCTGTCCAGAAAACCTCCTATTTAAGGAATAGGTTTAAAACTAGTTTAGCACTGTACCTCAAATACCAACAAGTGACTCTTAACGAGCTGAAAGGATGCTGTGCTTCACACTGTCAAAGGCCGCAATCAAATCTAAAAGTAATACAAATGCTAATTTGGCTGCATCAACAGTTAAATTAAGCTAATTTAAAATGTTTGTCTGATGTTGCTACCCTAGTTGATGATGAGAGATTGTTCTACCGTCCAAAAAACTTTTATAGAAGATGTAGTGGCGATTATTTGTCAAACCAAACATCCAATAAAGTTCCAATAAGCCACTATAGGCACTGGGGTCACGTTTTCTTGACGCAGGCAAAAGAAGTTGAAGTCCAAACTTGTAGATGTTCAGTTGATTTATTTCCTATTTTTTTTGCAAAGTTCAAACATTTCCTTGCTCTGTCACCTCTCTTGCACTGGTACAAATCCATAGGCCCCTAACCCAAATGCCTGCTGGTCCTTACTAGGCTCCTACAATTATAGAAAGTGGACAGCCCACATTTCCTCCTGTTTTACATAATAAATACAGAAAAAAAATGATAAAAAAACAAAAAATAAATACACAAAATTCAACAATTAACCTATAAATAAAGTCTGTAAATAATTAAAAAAAATATATAAGTTTAGGAATTAACCCAATTCAAATGGATAAAGAAATAAAGAATAAATAGCTCCAACAGAAGATGTTCCACTGAGGGGAAAAAGACACTGAAGGACTTGTCTGTGCAAATTCTCAGTCATCCGGGTCCCAGCAGTCACAAAACAGGCTTAAATTGGTGGCAATCGTATAAATAGCTTCTTCAAGTTGTGCTTGAATATTCTGCATTACTATAGAATGACCTTGTAACCCTTCCCTGGTTTATGGGCATCTCTAAGAACATTGCAGTTCTTTCTTTTTTTAATGGATCTTATGGGTATTTATTTCTGCACCTAAGGTTAGCTTTAAACTTTTAGGATTCTTGCAGAGACCGCATCGTTTGTATCATGACCTGATCTGTAAAGCCTGTAAATTGAAGCTTTCATCTTCTTGTGTGATTAATCGTTGGGGCTGTTTCTCCACAGCACATGTTCAGTCAATAAAGACGGGAGGTTAAAGCCTTCTTCATTCATCCACAGATAATATGCAGTTCTGAAATGGTTACTGTTTGATTTGCCGTGTTAAGGGTCAAATGGCTAAGGGGGTGGATGCGGTTGCCGAGACGACTTTTTCACCTACACAGATTTCACCTGTTGATAGCCCATAATTACACAACTTTGAACGTGGAGGGAAAGAGGAGGATCACAGCTGTGGTCCAGCAGGTGGATATGGTTTAAATCGCCTTATTTGTTCATGTGTGTTTTATTTTCACACCCGAGTGTCTTAGAAGGCGGACATATGGGAGTATCTGTTGTGTTGATGGGAGGGCTCAGGTTACGCTCCTTGACGTGGGCTGACAGTAGTGCTGTGATGTCTGGGTGGGTCTCCCCTCCCTCGGGTCACACTAACATCATCAATCTTTCCCCCTGGTGACAGGCGGCCAGGCCCTCCAACTGTGGGCACAGTGCTGTGTTGTTTTGTAATTAGGCTGCGTTAGATGGCAGGAAACCCTCTCTCCTTCTTACCATCCCTCCATGCATGCACCCCTCTCTGCAAATACCTGGACCTCTGCCCCCCTGACAGCCAATAAGAGGCACAACAGCTTGTAAAAATGCAACAGCAGTTATTATACTCGTAACACCTTTTTTCTGTTGGACTTTTGCAAACAGACTGCTCTGCATTGGGCCGCCAAACATGGCAACAAAGACATGGCAACGTTGGTGGCCGACGCCGGAGGCGACGTCAACAATAAATCAGTAAGTTCAGTTTAAAAGTTAGGTTATGAGTGGGATCTCATTCAACTTTATGATATTCGTATGGTTAGATTTTAGACAGACAACTTAAAATAATTAACTGGTTATTTTTGCACTGTTGAATATTTGTTTAAAAATTTTGTAGGATGAGATTCTGCAAAAAAATCAGGGATATTCATATCCAATATTTATAGATGAAATCTGTCAAATATGAACCAATAAAATCCATTATTGGAATGAATCAGCCGGCTTTTAAAGTTATTACAAATAACTTTGCTTCTGTCGACTGCGCCGTCTGAATGGCCATGTAAAAGTGCCGTACCCTTCTCCATGTTTGTTGGTTTGTTTATTTCAATTTCTTTTCTTTTTCGGTTCCGGTACATTTAGTTTTACCAAATAAAAGCCTGGGAGCAACAGACTTTTACAGTAATAAAAGAAATAATAAAAACTGTATTAATACGAGATAAAATAATTGTCGGTGTTAATTGATTGATGAGTTAACGCGATAATAACGTGATAGTTAGGCTTTGCACAGATAAGATTTTTTAGGTATGGAGGAACAGCTCTACCGTATATAAAATAAATACATAAATAAAAAAAATGCTCAATAAATAAATAAATAAGCATTCAGTTAATTGCCCCCAAAAATACAATTAATAAATATGTAGGTAGAAATTTTATTATACGGTGAGACATAAATATATGTATCACTTAATTAGCTTCTTTATTTTTTCACCTTCTTTTGTAAAAAGTTGCATTTGTTACTTGAATC